CAAGGATAATGAGCTCTGATTTCTGCAGCTTTTGCTGCAGGTGTTTGAACACTTGGCACACATCGAACATAAGTGCAGTGAGCCACACCTGAAGAGTACGAAAACTCTTTGTCAATATTCTATTTAATCACTTTTTTCTGTAACAAATCTTGTGCAGCAAAGTAAAAAACAGAAAATGGCATTGAGTGGTGGATCATTTGATTAAGATTACAACTGCAGAATGCAATGCATCTTGATCAAATGCCTCTCAATGCCACATCCCCCTTCTATGTTTTATTTAGTTGTTGTGTCAGGTCTGGAGTGGAAGCTGTTTGGCTGTTAATGATGGACCCAGCAGAAGCAGGCCTATCTGTTGTTGGCTGTACCGTTTGTTTGACACCTTGAGTTGTAGATGACACAGGAAAAAACCAGTTATTGAACTTTGGCCCTTAGCTGAAGCCAACTCTTTGAGGCATCTTTTCTCATTGCCACTTTTTCGCTCTCGCGTGGTTGTTTCAGTGGAAGGCACACGAGTCGTCATTTTGCCATTATGAAGAAGTAGCATTGTTTTACGTCATTCGCTGCGCTGTGTCGCTGATCATGCGCCTCACTTCATTTTCTCAAAAGAGACACCAAAGACAGTGCTCAAGTGAAGCAATCATTTTTGCTTCGTGTATCAAGTGAATTTCTAGGCTCTTAATAAATAGTCATAAAATTCAATTTTTTCAAATGGGCCCAATCACTGGTAGGGCAAATTTCCTCAGTGGTTGGGCAAGAAGAGGGCCTGGCGGGGCAAATGCCCCACTAGTACATATGTTGAAATGTGCCTTGGTCGATTTTGCTTATATGTAAAGAAAAATTGCAAGAATCCAATGCTTATCGTATTTCATCAGCGGATCCCTCAATATTGAGGTTGCTGATTAACCTATGTAAATTTAAATGTTTTATAATTCTGATTTAAAAGTTGAAGCATTTTTTCAACTTATAACCACATTTTTGGGATACATAGGCCTAGATTATTTGAAAATAGACTGATCATATCTGAACAAGGTTCCATATTGTTTTCTTTCTTTCCTTCCTCTCTGCAAGAATTTGCTGAATTCCCTAGAGCATTTCTGTTGCCGTGAAGTTTTCATCACTTGCACATATAGCTAAGCTAAATGCTTATATCGTGTTAGCAAAGGCGATAAATATCATTGGGATATTGGCAAATTGAAAGTTTTAGCATAATATTTCAAACATTTCTCAACGTCCTCTCCTATATCCTACCTTTGTCCCTTCTGACTAAGGGTGCAAGTCCAAGTTTCAGTGTTAGAAATAAGGCTTCAAGACTTCCCATATCGTCAAAAAATTGTAATTTTCCACTATGAGGATGGTATGATGAAAAAAAATATGACACCATTTCAATTTCAAACCAAAATGCAAATTTTTCTATTGTATTTTGAAATAGTAAAAGCCAAATTTACACATTCCATCGTGGAAATCACATTGAAACAAATGAAGCCAGTTGTCACGCATGTGCGTGTATTTGTTGACGTATTTCTAGGTGTTAATTCAAAAAACTGCAAGTTGATGGTATGAGCCAAGACAGTACAGATCAATTTGTCTGCTAAGGCATTAAAAATGAACTTAAACTTACTTCGTCATTTAAAAAAGTGTTACAGACTTCATTAACTTATATAGAAACAGCGATAGCCATATACAGATGATGTTGAGTGCTTGTGTTGGAACGTTAATAATTTTGGGAAATAACATTAAAATTGTCATTCTTGCTGTTTCTGTTAAAAAATGCATTAGATTTGCTTAATTTGAAATCTTAGCCCGATACTTTGGAAATTTATATGAATTTTTTAAGATTTTCTAAAATTTTCTAAATTTTTGCTCCACCCAAGAAGGCCATTATGATGACGTCATCGTTAAACCACGTGACTTAAAAATGAAAAAACAGCACTAAAATGTGGAGAATAGATAAGAGTATGATCCTACCAAAGTTCATTGCCCTAGTTTGAAGGACAAAGAAATTACAGAAGGGGGCACTTTGTCTCCCCAAAGTTTCAAAAAGCCTAGTCTGAATAGGGTTAAAAAAGTTGTGGGCCACTTGTAACATTTGCATGGCCAACGTAAAATTTGCACCACCAGCAGTATTTTGCTTTACACGATGCCTCCCAATAATGTTGGAGTGCGAGAATACAGAAAAACCACGGAAAGAGACCGATAAACTATTTCCGATTCCGACATGTCTTGTGAATTACTTGATTCTGAATTTTCAGGCACACGTTCTAATTGCCAACCTAGCCTCCTAGTCCTGTCAGAAAATAAAGCATCTCCGTCAGAAAATTTCTGTTGTCATTTTAAAATCTCTTCGATTCAAGTCAATGTTCCAGTAAACATATTTACACATTCAAATTTCCGACAAAGAAGAGCATGTTGCAGTATGCCTAATCATATAAGAGAATCAGACAAAAACGTAGAATATACCCTCAAACCTTTTGCTAAGTTCTATTTTCTGGGTTGCCTTTTTTCAGATTAGTTGGGTTTCAGACTTTGCATTTTAAACAATCTTTTGGTGGTACAAAACTTGAAAATGGCTTTGAAGAAAGCAAACATTTGAGCGAACTTTGTATTTTGTCAAGGTAATGTGTATAATTTAACGTGCATAAGCGCATTAAATTCATTTTGAAATATATTTGATGAAGTCACTTAAAGCTTACTTTTTCTTATATTTTTAGTAACATAACAAAAGGCTTTGGCATTTTCCTGCCAGGAAAACCATCTCGTTGGGTTTTCTCAGGATGAAAGCAGCTGCGTGTGCGGGGCCTGGGCACTAATTACTGACCATCGATAATTCATTGCGAATTTCGTCGAAGTTAGAAGGCTTGTGAATCAACTGCTCTGGAAATATCTCTGGGAACTGACACTGTGAAAGATATCTTCGTTGATCTTTTGCATCGAGGCGATTTAGCGCCTAATAATTTATTTTAACCATAAAAGGAACTCTAAAGATTATCAGTTTTTGTCCAGACGCGCAGGGGTGAGTTGCAATTGAATAATATTTCGTTTTAAATGTTGGTTTCCGCCATCTTTCTGTTGCGTTGTGACATAGGACTGAAACCATGTCGTTTTGTTTTGTAGAGACCGGCACGTTCTGGTGTTCCAAAAGCTATATACATGATATTCACACAGAGCCTTAGCGCTTTTCCACAATGTCTCAGTCTTCTTCAAATAAAGGAAAAGATGCAAGTGGCAAGAAATTTGCTTCCCTCAACCTAAATCAAACATTCAAGGGTACGAAAGTAGAGAATCGATCTGCAGCAGGTGGGTCGATCACTATCCGAAATATCTTTCGGCCATTTTTCTACTTCAGTTAGAAAGTCTTTAAGTTGTCATGCTAAACTGATATATAACCAAAAGAAGTATATATGCTGCTCATAAAGATATGTTTGTGGCACTTGCCCTTTCGTGTTTCATGGACCGATTTAGGGTAGGCCACCCTTTGTCTTCCAAGCTTTCCCGGTTTTCATAAATTATACCTTGTTTGGTTGACTGATAGCGAACTTTTTCAGTTTTTTCTAATGTTTTTTTCTTTATATAAATTTAAAATGAAACTAGATATTTCCAAGAAAACTTAAACATGCCCATGTCTTCAATCAATATTTCCCTTGTTTGTGATGGAATCTCAAAATTTCTTTTGTCTGAACTAGCAACGTTCTTTGTGACACCGACCCTGCTTTTTAGTGCTTCGACCCTAAACGTCTTCAGTTAATTTATTGTTTTTTCACTAGCATGATATAGGCCTAAGAAGATAAAACATATAGTTTCAATCTATATGCTTTAGTTGTGCTTCATAGCATTTCCCTTAAGAAACAACTGTAATTAGAAGATTGAAATTTCCCAGAACCAGCAGCATATCTGACAGTCCATATGGATTTGCTTTTCTCAGTCACATTGATTTCTGTAACTGGAAAGGTTTACTACATATCCAAAAGATGCTTTGTCAGATTTTTAGTTGGAAATGTATGTTTTGTTGTTTGTTTTTATCTTTTTTGACTAATTGTTTATATTTTCTATAGATATAGCTCTCAAATAGCAATTTTAATGAACACCTGATCTATTCCCAGCTCCTCTTTTGACATGTCTGTATAATTGATAAATAAAACACATGATTTATTAAGATTCATTGCTCGGATTATCAAAAGGTAGAGTGAATAAGTAGGAAGAAGGTGTAGTGATCATTGTTGAACTGTAATTATGTCATCCATTGTGTGACTGTCATTTACACCTTGCAGTGGCCTTCTGTCATGTAACCAACAACAGATTTGTAAGGTCCCCTTGTATTAATGTGATTCTCCCACTTTTGTATTCAGTCAGTGAGTTACAAGACACAACAGTCACATGACAACATCTCTTGCTGGCTGGCTCCCTATATCCTGCTTGTTAAATAAGATCACAAAAACAACATTACTCTTAACAGAAGCAAAATATAAGAATGAATTAACATCAACAAGCTCTCCTATAAAATGAACAATTCAATAGCTGTTTTTACCTAAATGTCTGGCCATGCAGGGTAGATATATTTCAAAAGGGCTGGATGGAAAGGTTTTCAAAATGTTGAAATCCCAAGAAATTTAACCAAACTTTAATCAATAGTTTCTACCCTTTTCAAGCACTTCAAGTCCCAATTAATGGATGTAAATCATTTTTTCCTTATCACATATCCGTTTGAAATAATGAAGCATGGATCAGTTGGCAAATTATATATACTTTTGCCGTGTGTAGTTGCGAACTAAAACTCACTATCAGCTATGACCTACAAGCAGCAACAATTTAAGCTGTGAGCAAAGATTTCATATGAAAGACTGTATAGTCAATCCGGGTAAAAAATACGCACGTGTCTCTGCGGGGAAAAAATTACGCACCGCCTTTTCAGCCATGCCCAATCACTTATACCGTTTTGCTTGTGGTTCCCGTATAGCCTAGAGAAGGCCTGTCAATTTGACCTGCTTTTCCCTTTTGTAAGGATTCTTGATTTAGAATAAAGCGGAATTGAATGTTTACCTTGTAAATTGGCCCAATATAATGTTTTGTCGGAAATCATCGAACTTTTTTATTGTCGCGTCAGTAACTGTCAAGCCCACAAAGTCAAGTGTTCTCAGTTGTTCTAAGGTAATAACCTTTTGACCTATGATAATTACATTTGCTTGCTATCTTTTGTTTTGTCTACATGGCATGCGTATTTTTTGGACACACAATTTTTGAGCACATGGGGAAAAATTACGCACTCCTGATGTTGATTGATGTTGGTATGGGACCTATAGAGATATGTAAATATGAGTCACAGAGGCACAAATTATCATGAGATATTACATAAGCTTATATTAATGGGAGTTTACAATGTATTTTTGGCACTTAAGTCATAGACTCGCTTTCATATGCCAAAGTTTTTAATAGCAGACATCCTCGTGCTTTTCAACTTTAAAATCACTTAGAAGCTGTTCAAAACTATTGCTTAACATCGTTACATGGGAAATCAAGTATTATATGAATGTTCTTCATAAACAAGCCTCTAGGATTCATTCTTTCATGTGTGCGTATTTTTTCCCCACCTATCCGCATTTTTTACCCCATTTGATGGGGGAAAAATTTCGCATTAATTTTCTTTAATTATAAGAAGGTTAATTGGATTAGCAAGACAACAAAGGTTTGGTTAACAAGGTATTACCATTCAAGTTTGAAAAATAAAAGAATATTGACAAGATATCTTTTGAATATTTTTCTGGAGCAAACTTTGTGCAAAATGCGTATTTTTTCCCCCAACTGACTATATATAGTGTAATATCTGGCTATGGTATAAACATGATTTGATTGACATTGTGGGTCAGGTGCAAAGAGCAAGATATCCTGGCTGCAAATATTGATGTTTATCTAAAGCATAGCTGTATGCTAGTTTTCTACCCTTAGGTTAAGAAATGCTATGTCAAAAATCTGCAAGAAATTATTATAGGAAGCCAAAACATGCATAAAAATATCATTAACACTTTCTTTTATAATCTTTTCAAAACAGCTTCAACAAGAACTTATATTTTTTTGAGGTGGAAACATTCAACATTATAAAGCAGTTAAGAATAAATGTTATGAATTTTAACTTAACACTCAAAAGAGAAACTATTTCTTGCTACACCAGGTGCTAAAGGGGCTTTTCAATTTCTTATCTTCTAAATTTCAATGCCAAGCAGCTTTACACTTTAAAAAGTTTTTAAAACTTTCTGCACAGTTGTTTATGGTGAAGGTTGCCAATTGACTCTTTAGGTATTGGCACCATGGCTTTGGCTAAAAAGTCAGTTAATGATCACACTATTTGGATATATCTGCACATGCTGTTTGGCCTTCCTTTTTTTAAGGGTCCTTTGTTTTCAGGGCTTCAAAGTTTGCTTTAATCACCATCCTTTATGATTGTGTTTCTTTATTTCACTAAGGAGATTCTCTTTCTTATAATTTGATATAAATTAATGTATTTTGTTTGTTGATGTATTTATCTTTTGTATGCATTTACAGTAGTATAAAAATATAAATAACATCTATTATCAAGCAGTTTGTTAGGTATGAAATTTTCGTGAGATTTCTTAGTGCATTGTGGTTTCAGGCCATGGATTCTAGATATATAAAGGCACCACATCTTGCATAACCATCAGCTGATAAAATTTTACTTTGATTTTTTAAACTTTGCATTGATTGAATACCCCTGTAAAATTTACAAAACTATGTTTCTTTGTTAATGCTTTCTCAATTTAAAATTTGGGACATCATTTTGTCACATCTTACCTCTTCAAACATAATCAAATTTGGTTGTCAAAATGGTAAAATTATTAATGTTAATAGAGTAAAGTTTGGTAATATTTCGCAAAAAAAATTTTAAAGATTTTAAATTGAGTATTTGAAGGAAAAGAAAAGTCCTTTTAGTTTATGCGCATGTTTAATGGATATTTATGTATTTATTGAGTTTTTATATTTATCTTGGAAAAAGCCCAGCACACCCTGATGTAAATCTTATTATTATAAGACACTATCACTGTGCTGTATGTTCTTAAGACATTTATTGATTTGGAGTTGATCCCTGTCCCATTGCATTTTGTTAGTTCACCTGTACAATGTGATAATATATGTTGGTTAGCATAAATTTCTGGATCTGGAAGTGTTGGATAAATGAATTTTATCAGTGTCATGTTAAATGAATTATATGTTGTATTAACAATGTTGTTTTATTGTGAAGGACAAACCCGCCATGGACTCCAAAGTCTGGGAAAAGTCAGTCAGAGCAGACGAGTTCCTATGCCTGCAAACTTGCCTTCTTTGAAGAAAGAAAATCTTGGTAACGACCCTACAGTAAGCTTAGTGCCATCTGGTAGTTCAGGATGGGGAAAGAAAGAAAAGAGTTCTGGAAAGACAGAAGAGCAGGTATTTACTGTAAGGTTTATTACATCTAATGCTAAAGTAAATGGTATTCTTGTAAGAATCAAACCATATATATTTATCAAACATTTCAAACATTAGATTTTCTACCGCTTGTCACCATGAATATAGTTTCTTAAATGAATTACTAAGCTTGTTCCGTTTCACCTAGACACAAACGCCACAGCAGAAGCCACAGAAAACAGATCAAACCTTGGAGATTTCACTTCGTCCAAATGCAGGTGCGGGTTTGAAGAGCCAATCAGAACAGGGAAAAGGATGGGGAAATCTTCAAGGTGGAAGTGGTGAGTTGATATTAGCTTTTTTTTACTATGTACTAGTTTGTTGTTCTTCTTCTGAATCCGCTAGAGCGAAACTGGTTCTTCTATCGGCTGGAGCGAAAATTTTGATCTTTCAGGATGGTTTGCTTTTTTTGGGCTAGCCTCAGTGATAAAAATGTCCATATATATATTTATTACCTGTGTCTTTAAAATGAAAAATGAATCAAAATGGAATAGTCTCCAGAGAATAGACACCCTTCATTTTTTACTTGTTTTCTCATTATTGGTCTTTTTGAAACATGGGTCCACAAAGTCAACTTAAAACAAATAAATTTCATATTGCTATAATTTGAGGGCACAGGACAAAAAATATTCTCAAACTTTAGGGCTTTTATTTCTTAAACATCTTTTTCTATTTCAATGTCAAGGTACTGGGTCAACACAATCATCCAATACATTCCAAAGAGAATTTCCAAAGTTGGGTGTGGATGGAGGAGGTCAGAGTACCGAAGGGTTAGTGAAAGAGCGAGATTCAGACGAGAAAGAGCCTGTAAGCAGCAGTACTTCAAATGCCCCACCAAGATTTGGAGGTATTGTTATAGATTTATCTTGCTATTATTGTTCATTTTCATTTCTTCCAATCTAGATTTACAGAAACTTTCTAAAAGTAACATAACTTTGTAGGCTCAGTCATATTTTGAGAGCAGTTCAGTCATATTTTAAAGAAGGAAAAAGAAAACATTCATGGGTAGATGTTTCTTCATTGTAGGCTTGAAGCTTGTAACAGACCTGAATTTCTTTGTTGTGTAGTAGCAGTTGTGTACCAACAAATTTAATCTTTTCAGTGTTGTCTTATTTGTTTCAATTATTTCTGAAGATGATTCTCTGGCAAATCAAAATCACAGAGAGATTTGCAGTATTAATTTTATACAGAAACACAAATTGTTAACTGTCCATTCACTTTTTTTTTTATTTCATTCTTATCTAGGCAAATTATAGATGTATATAATGTTAATTAAAGTTTCTGCTTTGCCCATCTGTCAGGTAGTGTCTCATTGTGTTTAGAAAGTGTTACACATGATGCAAAAGCAACTTGACTTTAGCATCATGTGAGAAATTTCGTGCTGCAACTAAGATAGAAACAGTTCTATCGACCAAAATGTTTGTATATATATTTATCATGAACATATAAATATCAATTGTTTTATTTTGTATTTAAAGGAGAAAAGTGGATGCCAGGTCAAATTCCAATGCAAGGACCTGGACAAAGTAAGCAGCTTTGCACAAACTCTTACTTTTGATTAGTTCAGGCTGGCCTCAGTTTTCAGCATGTCTAATTATTTTTTATGATTGATAATGTCATCAGAAGTATATATATATATATATATATCCATAATATTGACAAAATTAGAGTCTTTAGCTGTTACAAGGAACTGCTGTTTTCAGGCATTTTAGATGCCACCTTACTTGGTGTTGCTAGACTTAGAGCCACAAAATTTCAGTACCCCATTGACTTGCTTTTTTAGTAACATGGTTCATCAGCAAATATTTCTTGCATTCAACATTTAAAGGCTCAACAGCATCATTAAAGTCTTAAGCTTGGTCGATAAGAAAATTGTTAGCCTTTTTATCATTCACTATAAAGACAATGTAAAAATAACCTGCCTGTAGGGGTCACCTCTAAAACAACAGCTACTAAGCTTGCCATCTATTAAAGGTTTCACTTTAGGCATAAAGGCAAAAGTTTATGTGGCTTTTATTGATTATTTCTTATGGGTTTGATCAAGCAAGCCAGTACTTTTACCTAGAGAGCTGAGTTCTTTTCCTAATAAAAACATGACTTGGAATTGGTCCCATTATTTTTCAGCTATTTCTATCATGCTTACTTTAAATACAAATGTGGAGCTGTCTTCTGATGTTAGATATTGAATCATCAAAATATTTGAATATTCCCTTGTCTTGAAGGACCTGGTGGACCCCCAATGAACATGCCACTTGATCAGCAAAGACCAATGTTCAATGGTGCACAAATGCAGCCACCTGGCGGATCTCAATTCTATCCATATGTGAGTCTCCTATATTCTTGCTTTAATCTTCAAAAATTTACCATTTTCTAAGCAAACTTAACTTTACTGTATCCATATCTTTGTATTTATGTAATTTTAATTCAATGTACACATTTTTACATATCAATTCAATGTCGTTTCTTAAACCCTCATAACTGGAACAATCTTATTCTAAACATCAAATAGAATGTACATCTCTGCCTAAACAACACCAAGCACTTTTTATAAAAATAAATAGTATATAATTTCTTCACTTAATTTCAGTAATCTTTCATTTTTATTAAATTATATATATTTTTATAAGCCACTTAATATATATATAATAGCATATTTAGCTTAATGTTGTAACAAAAACATATATAAATATATACAGTTTGCTTAGAATAGGTATAGAATGATGATACATTATGGAGCATATTATTTTAATTATTCGAACATTCGCATCGCTTATCAAGTTGGAAATGTGTTACCTTTTGTTCTTTTGTTTCGTATTCCTTGTTTATGCTCCAGATGTATGTGTTAGTCATTCTGAAGAAGCTTATAGCGAAACATCAACCAAGTTGTTTTTTATTGAGTATCTATTTATATTTTAAAAAAACTTCAGAGTTAGGAGCTATTGAATATATATATATATATATAATAGTATATATATATTGTACAGTTGAGAAGACGTGTACACTAGTAAAAATGCAAATTTTGCCGACTAGTTTTGACTTTCTGTCGTATTCATGGCAATCAACTGATTCCAATTACATAAAGCATATCTAAATATAGGCTTTTCTAATGTGACGTTTCATTGTTTATTAATATGATGTAAGACCTCACCCCAGAAATATATAAATATGCTTTTAATTCCGGTGTATTAAGTTCTAACTGTTTGAATACCTGATTGATTGATTATTTTATTGTTTGATTCATTCCAGAGTCCCATGCCTCCATACATGATGCTGCCACATCCATTTCCATATCCATTTCCACCAAACAGGTATGTTATCATTATAGCCTCTTTGGTTGAGAGACTATAGATTCAGCTAAAAAATCATGTTATTTTTTTACAAAAGAGAGTTTTGAGCCATAAAATTTATACAAGGTTACGTTTCTCACAGTTTATAATTGAGCAAATAAAGCTTTGATGAGTTTGGTCAAGGCTTCAGTAAAAATTTAATTCAAACAGAAATATATATATATATGTTAGTTTCATCTGTTTTGAGGGTTTTTTCAACTGTTGTTACATTAATTAATAACTTTAATCTTTTCAAAACAGTTTGATTGTATAAACATTCACAATCCATCAGTTCCACTACAGGATATTTCACGAATATATTTAAATCTATTTACAGAATGTAATGTCATGTTTATAGAATTAAAGAATTTTTCAAATTGAACTTTGTCTGTGGCATGGAGAAAATTCACTTATTTCCACATGGCAAAAATAAATGAAAAGACATGGAAGTTGGCAATCTGAATATGGGCTCAGAGGCTTGGCTTTTTGAGTTTTTTAAGCTCTCAATTGAACTGGACAAAATACAACTTGCCTTAGCAATACATGTTCACTGCTAGGATGCGACAAATATGAAAATTACAATTACCTCTCTACCATTAAGAACCCCTCTTTGTGCCTCTCCTATAAACTTGAAAATCAAGATAACACTGTCTGACGTTACACCTCAACCTAACCCTCGATTTTCTGGAGATACAACGTCTTAGCTTGGAATATTGTTTGCAGTTCATTGTTATACACCAGTCAAATTTTATATAACTTGTTTTAGGATGCCTCCCCCTGGTGTAATGGGGCAGCCCCATTCTAGACCGGCACCTTCAGGAAATTCAAGTGATGCAGCTGAAAGGCCAGCAACAGTAAAAAATGAAGACTTGCAAGGAATGGATGACAATTCAGATGACGAAGGTTGGGCAGGTGCACAGGAAGATGTAGATTATAATGCCAAGATCAATTTTGATGAATCAGATGAAGAGTCAGACAATGGGCGGTACGCTGGACCTACAAGCAACAACAAGAAAGATGAACGGTCAGTTGCAAATAGCTCGAAAAATGATGCACTTGCAGCTTCAAAGCCAGCGACCAAGGTATTCATTGTTACAGCTGCAGTTTTGTCAAGGTTGCTCTTAGTCAATAGAGTTTGCAGGAGTGCATGTGGTCCCTCTATGTGGATCCATCTGTGCTGTCCTTTATGATCCCAGGTTTCCTCACAAAAGTCTTCCAACCTATATCTTCCAACCAAATTATTTTAAGATTCCAAAATAAGTCAAAACTGCTCTTGTTTGTAACACAAATTTTTGATTGGCCTATACAAGGAAACAAGTAAGCTGTTGACCAATCAGATTGTATTAAGCAGCTTTCACCACCAACCATTTTGTATACATAGTCTTGGCAAAGTAATTGATATCTCATTTCCAATCAAGCATGGTGGTTTTTTATATAAAGTGCAGCCTGCTCTCATGAAAAACAACACAGTTTTGTTGTAAAATGATCACATCTATTTTAGTCACAAAAGAAAACGCTTAGAGATCTTCACCGTAACTTGGCTCATCAACTGAAAATGCTTCTCACATGGGTGGCAATTCTCTTGATTTTTAACATTAAGCATTTAAATATAATGTGGTGGTGTTAGGAAAACATAAGGAGTGAATTTTGTTGGAAAATTTTCATGTATATGCTATTGAACAAGATGCTTTTGACAAGTTGAAGATCTTAATACCGCTGTATACACTGCCGAAAAAGTTTGCAGTTTACTAAGAAATAAACTTCTCTCGCGAAATTTAATTGCATCACAATATTGCACCACCTCGAAGGAGAGGAAATGGCGCATGAATTATCGAAAGCTTTTGTTGTGCAAATTTTGTGTCTTCTAAGGGGTGAATTGCAATGGGAGGGAAGTAAAACAATCACCAATCAAAACTTCATTTTTATAGCATTTGTTTGAAGAAGTAACAGTAACAAACGTCTTTTAACAGTTTCAAATTTCAATATTTTGACGGGTAGCGGCAAACATCTGAAACCGTACTTAGACATTTATATTTGAGGCATATGATTCTGCAATTTATTCTTGAGGAATTTTGTGTCAGGCCTAACGAATTCCTTGTTTTTGGAGAAGCATTTCGATAATGGTTTATAACGTTTTTCATTCAAAGTCAATCATTTTCAATAATATTAAAAACAGAACTTGAATCAGGCCATGGCAGAACTTTCATTCTTGCTTGGAAATAATTTTTTGTGAATGTTTCTTTGCAACTACTGCATTTCATCAATTTTTAATAGGTAGCTTTCAGATTAATCATAGAATGTTGCCTAAATGCCTTTAATTTGTATATGTCAGTTTTGCACTGTTATTGTCATATGTGGTTTTAAATCCTAAACTGCCTCCCATTAGTTTGGCTGCACCTCAGTCTGGTCTGCCTTTGACAAATAATAGATGTTCAAACATGTAAGGTGTTTTTCATTAAAAAAATCTTAGTTTCGAAATGACCTTGATTGTGTTTAGGATTCAAGTGATGGCAAACCAGCTGATGTTCCAATTGAAGCCTGGGGAGAACTACCCCCAGGGTATCAAGGGCAAATGCAGTTCAGACATCCCCATATGTGGCCCATGCATCGGGGACCTCTTCCACAGGGGTACCCATATCCACAATGGTTTCATCACGGATTCAGGATGCCACAGATGCCACAACAAAGACCGGAAGGTGCACAAATTGGACAGCCTGTCACAAGCGGCCAGCCAGGAAGTGGCCCGCTAGTGAGTGGCCCGCTAGTAAGTGGCCCTGCTGGACCAGGGCAGAGTCCCGCTTCACCTGTTCCAGCCACACAACCAGATGGCACAGAAGTCGAAAAACCAAAGCCCCCAAGCATTGAGAGAAGGAAAAGACAAGAGGAAGATGAAAGGAAAGATGCGGAACGAAGGGAAGCTGCAAAAGCAAAGCTACAAGCACTTGAAGAGAGAATGCGGCAAAGGGATTTTGAGAACGAAAAAGTCAGACGTGACAGTGAAAGTAGCAATAAGTCAGGTGCACGTGACAGGCTTGATAGCGAAAACAGTGACTCATCAAGGGGTGGATCACAGCGATCAAAAGGGGCCAAGGATAAGCCACCAAGATTTCTAAAACAGCAGTCCCAATCAAAACCAAGTCGCAGGGATGAGACTGCTTCATCTCCAGCATCATCCCCATTCGAAGGTTTGTCTTCTCTTTCAAAATTATTTGTTTTTTTCATAAATGATTAAGTCATGAGTTTGTTCAGCTTGAATTTTTTATGTTTAAGAATAACGTGTTTTGTCAAAAATACCATTCCTGTATGTGTACCGTCAAAAATCTCGACAAGACTTTATCAAAATTGACCATAAAAGTTTAGATTTGACACTTTCTATGGAAGAGAGCTAAAAGGAGCGTAAGAGCTTGTCACTTGCTCCATACAAGTACTTAATGGAAAGTATCTGCAAGCGAATAGCCTTCAATTTCGTATCAAAGCAATCTGATAAGAATTGTGAATGTGAAGTATCGCACGGTCTCTGAAAGTCAAGATTTTAGCAACCTGATTCATGATGTATCTCTGCATAGCCTTAGTTTGCATGCATTGTATTGAAACAATGGCCAAAGTATGTAATGTTGTTGTTCTATGCTTTGCATACGATGCAGCCATCAGAATACTGAGAGCAATTTTAACCAGCTGCCATTAGTATTCTACCAAACTGTATATTAAGGATATAATAACTCTGCTGTTTGCTTTCCAGCTGACAAGTGTTTCTTTTTAACAGGTGTTACCCCATTTGCAGACACTGTAGTAGCTGTACCTCGAATAATGAAACGACGTGATAGTCTGCGATCAGATGATGCTAGCAGTGTTCATTCGCATGACAGTTGGGCAAATGTGTCTGTTGGGGAACATGAGAAGGCCAGGGATGCTGAAGAATCAGTTTTTATACAAGAGACCAAACGAATGGAAAAGGTTCCAGAAAAAGAGACAATCTTGAAAAGGGATGGAAATTTTGAGAAAGTAGAGAAGAGAGGTGCTTTTGTTGATGGAGAGAGTAAGCTTCAAGAAACGAGTAAAGTAGAATATGCAGAAAAATCTCAAGAAAGCAGTCAAGGAATAAATAGGTCATCAAGGCAGTCTTCCAATCAAAGCTTATCATCTAAAACCCAACGATTCGATGAAGATAGCAAAGCTAGAGAAAATAGAAGGTCATCTAAAGGCTCTGATGGGCGTAGAGAAAGCAATAGGGAGTATAAGGGTCGTGATTACAGAGATGAAAGGCAGGGAAGGAGAGATGATATTGATTGGAAAGATCGATCAAAGGAAAGCAGACAGAGCAGAGAAAAGGAAAGAGATGGACAAAGGGATACCGAAAGAGGTACAACCAGGAGAGAAAGGGACGTAGGGTTTAGTACTGGACGAAAGGAAGAGACATCTTGGGAACGAGATGGCGATAAAGGAAAGAATAAGAAGGAAAGAGATTCTAATGCCATAAGCAGCCAGAAGGGCGATGTTGGGAAAGGAAAGGATTTTGTGTCATCGCATGCTAAGGAGGCAAGCAAAGATAGTTCTAGTAAGGGAGCATCTGAGAGAAGCCAAAAGAACACAATTGAAAATTATAAATCAGGAGTAAAAGATGAAAGAAAGCAATATGATAAAGGTAAAGATTTTGTTAGTAAACAACGGCCACCATCTGATAATTTCAAAAGGCTTGAAAAATCAAAAGGTAAAGGCGTGTCAATGAAATCTTCAGTTACAAAATCAGATGACTCGCAGAAGCAAACAGGAAAAGAGGAGAATAGAATGCAGTCAGAGGGGAAAAAGCCATCTGTATGGTCGCAAGTTGTAAGTGGGGAAACCAACACAGAGAATGCATCTGGTGTCAGGGAAAAAGTAGAAATGCAGCCAAAGAAATCACTTCTTGAAATACAAAAAGAGGAAGAAATTAAAGAAAGTGAAAAGGAGAACCTCCAATCAGCCAGAAATGAAGATGCTAGGTTAGAAAGGGTAACAAGAGATCAAGATAAAAATGAAGAACAGGACTTCCAACAACCTTCAAGACCACCAAGAGATAGAAGGTACGATGGAAGGCGAGGAAACGATCGCTATGAAGACAATTTTAAGGACTATCAAGGTAGAAGACGATATGAAAAAGATAATCGCAGACCAGATGATCGCAGAACAGATGATCGCAGACCAGATGATCGCAGACCAGATGATCGCAGACCAGATGATCGCAGACCAGATGATCGCAGACCAGATGATCGCAGACCAGATGATCGCAGACCAGATGATCGCAGACCAGATGATCGCAGGCCAGATGATAGATATGGCCGTGAGACAAAACAGGATCAAGCTGCTTCAGGTTATGATAATAGAAAGCGAGGGAATGATGATCGCAAACGAAGACATGATGAGACTGAGGCTCTTTTCCCGTACGAAAAGATTTATTCCGAGGAAGTGGAGGCACAAGGCAGGTTAAGAGAGCAGAAAACAGAGCGGCATGTGGACAGACAGTATGAGCGTGCCAGATATCCTGAACGCACGAGGGGTATCAGGGGAGGTAGACAGGTACATTCACGGGGAAGGGGACGTGGTGGACATACAAGAATCACAGGTACATCAAAGGAAGGTTACAATTTTCCTGATACAAGACATTTCAGCTCAAAAGGCTTTGCTGATAAAACACCAGGGTCGTCAGATGCAAAAGAAACGCCAAGAAATGAATTGGAAGAAAACCAGTCTGATGATGTAGAAGCCAAAGATGACAAGGAACATAAAAGCAATGAAGATGGCGAAACTGATGTGAGGAAGGGAAAAGAGCAAAAGGATTTTGAACAGAGAACTCGTGAAAATAAAGAAGCCTGGGATTACCAGGATAGATACGCTACAAACAGGCGTGATAGCAGGCGTGGGCGTTTGTACAGTTCGTCAGGGGGTTCAAAGTATGGCCCTAGGGGTAACTCGAAGTATGAATCAAGACACGAAGGGAAGAAATTCCAAAAGGTTGTCAAAGAAAAAAATGTTGTAAGCGGAGAAGGTGAGAAGGAAAAGTCCAAGTCTGAGAAAGATGGTCATAAAGACGGTGATAGTGAATATGAGGATATTGAAGAGGACGATTTTGGTGATGAGGATGAGGGATATAGTGATGAAGTAGAAATTGAAGGTGATGCTGATGATGCCCAAAGAAGAGAAAAGAAAGAAACTGCTGAAGGGAAGAGAGGGTACCGAGAGGGTAAAACAGTTGAAAGGGGCATGAAAAGGGGACAGGCATCAAGAGTACAGAAGCCTAGGTTCAATCGTGAACCTCAAGGTTTGCCACCAAGATTTCAAAAGCAAAAGAGTGACGCAAATGAGCAAAGGAGGAAAGCACGAGGCCAAAGCGTCAGAGGTGCTAGAGCTCGTGGCAGGGCATCTTTTCCATATCGATCAGGTAGAGGAAGGGGCTATGGCAAAGTGATGGTATCTAGAGACACAAAATCAAAGTCACCTCATGAAGAAAACAGAGATGAAGATTATGGTGGAGACAGTGATGACACATTTCATTCAGCCGATGATATCTTCCATGGTTCAGGGAATGAGGACTCAGGCAAAACAGAGCCTAAGCTAGTTAAGGACAGTGATAATTCAAGGCGATACAGCAGTCGAGGAAAAATGCCATCTAGAGGATCTAGCACTCGAGGACGGGGTGCACGCCGTGGAGGAAATTCTGATCATTTTTTAGGCGATAGGCAGCAGGAGAGAGTTGGTCATATCAACGCCTCAGGATTGGCATTTACTCTTCCTGCTGCCGGTAAAGCTTCATTTCCTGGAAACAGGTCAGCTGAGGATAAATTCGTTTCAAGGTCTTCTTCCTCTACGAAAAAGGACCCAATGATGAAGAGACAAACTGCTGATCAAAAAAATGGATCGCATCCCGCTTCACACAAGGAAACGCAGCAGGAGTTTGCAGAACCCCCAAAGAAAATGGCCAAGTCCAAGTCAATAGAAAAACCTGATATTTTGAGACAATTTGATGTGAATAATATTGCTAGTGTTGTCTGCATTGATGATATTCCGCAAAATACTGAAAATGGGGAAAATTTGGCACAAGCAGGGGAGAATGATGGCTTTGTGGAAGTGCTGGGCAGGAAGGGTTTGCGAGAAAGGCAAAAAGAAGAAAAGAAGAAGCTACAGGAAGAGATGAGTGCAAAAGCCGCAAAGAAGAATGCTGTTGAGTCTAGGGAGACAGGAAGTAAGCCAGGAAGAGCGGTCAAAGTTGTCGAACAACCATCGCAACGAGTTGCACAAAACTTTTCTCAAGTTACAAGTCAATCACCAATTACATCAGTGTCACAGAGTCAAGCAAGCAATGCTGCGATGGCAGCTGTTGGGGGTTGGGAACCAGCACAGGCGCTTCTAAGGGGTGTTCAGATGGTTACGCCAACAGAAGTCCTAGATGGCAGTAAAGCACCCCAAGGATCAAGCCAACCGACTATGAATGCTTGGAAAAGGCCGCTAAGTTTTGCTCCCTCGTTGGCTAATTCTACAGTGACCTCAAGTAATGGAGACAAGGTACCAGCTCCTGATCCTAAAGCTGTTGGCACAGGAAAGCCAAATTCATCACCCGCCAAACAGGTATTATTCCATTACCTTTGATATGTTGCTTTGCAAGCGAACTGTCTTTGGTATAATGACAAAACTTAAATATTTTTTACTTTTACACTTGCCTATCGTCTTTTATTATTTTTCTCTTTAAACGCAAGTTTCTCGCAAACATCGAAGCACTGAGATTTTCTGCTTTCTATATCAATCCACTTCAAGTCTCGAATGCACATCTAATCTTTTAGAATTTTATCCTTTGCCTCGTATCCAATTTAAGGAAATTACTACAATTTTGTAGAGCTTTGATTTCAGCCCTCCAACCCTAGATGAAATTCCATTCCCTCTTTTTTATCGCGGGCCTCTAAATTTACTAATCAAATTTCATGAATGATTTGTAGCTCTTGATTGAATCTCTGAGTAGGGCTGAAATATCAGCTTGCCGCTTTCTACCCAGGATGAAACTTTATAATCTTTGATTGAAAACGAAAGATAATGAAATCAGGCGCTTTCTGTTTTTTTATGAATGTTAGGCTAAGTAATGACTGATAACAGCGCTGTATTCAACACGATGTTTTCTGCCATTTCCCCCTCAGCTCAAGCCATTTCTAAAGGCTTGAACAATCTGTTGCCGTGTATTATTTCCGGTGGCTGTAAGACAAACTAGGAACTTTTTCGTTTGTTTTTCTATTTCTTTAATCTCTACTTTAGCTCCCGCTGGCTGGGCAAGTGTCGAAGCCGAATGAAAACGTAATGGTAAATGGAGGCCAGGTTATCTATAACGACTCTGTGAATGGCACAGAGCACGGAAAACCGACAGATGGCCCGCCTGAAGAGTCCAGCTTGAATGGAGCTGATAAATCAAGTCGCCATGGTGATACTGAAGCCAAGGATGCCAATCGCAAACAGTCTGCAAGTCGCAAGGCAGACCAGAGAAAGATCAACAAGGGGACAAAGAGGGAAACAGCGCCCAGATTCCAGGGTATTGCCAAGGCAAAGGCAACCCCCATTTTAAGCAGTGAAAACGAATTAGAGAAGAAGAAGATATCTGCCACAGCTGAGGATGTGTCTGACTTAGTTTTTAGTAAGGTAGGCGTAAAACATTTTAATTGGTTTATGTTTACAGTGGCGTAACTCAGCTTTGAAAGTAGAGGTATGCGGGCAAAATTGCTTTTAAGAGTTTGCGTTTTTAGAGGGAACTCTTTGTCATCCTTGAGCATCTCAACATCCGCAGTCGATTCAGACCTACATTTTAACTGCAATTCTTTATGTTCTTTCCATTATTTTAGAATTTCTTATTTGAAAATTTGGAAACCAAGTACCTTAGATTTAGCCAATTTAGAGCTGATCAAATTTTCAGTAATCAACAGTTGAAAAATAATAACTTTGTTTAAAGGGTTTTAAATTATAACTTCTATAATGATTTCATATTAAGGAAGGTAGTGAATGTGGGTAAGTTTTGTTCATAGGGACAGTTCCAGGTAGAATCCTTCGATTGAGCCAATTTTTTTTCTCTTTTTAAGGATAATTGGTTCGTTGTAAAGAAAAATATCACCAAAATTCACCAAAATGCACTGCCAGAAATGAATTTTTGTAGCCCTGTAAGATCAGTTTTTCGGTTCTTGCCCCGCAAAAGCAGACTGTTATCAGGATTAACTAGGTTATAATGACAAAACTGCTTTTGCAGCTCAAAGGCGAAGACAGAGCTCCCGGTAAGAGACCAGATGGAACAAAACTGCGGAGATGCAATAGCGAATCTAGTAAGGAGCATCCAGATAACCCACTGGGCGATTTCGAAGGAACAGAAGCACCAACGTTGTCTTTCATGCGTGCAGATATTAGAACAGAAAAGATGAACGGAAATGAAATTAAAAAGGGAGACAAGCACGCTGAAGCAATATTGAACTCATTGGATAACGCCCTTGGCAAGGTAAGTTCGAAAGCAATGTCTTTTCTAAAGCAATGGAAGAAGGAAACAGAAGCTTATCAAAGTACGCTTCCAAGCTTAATTGTAGTGGGTGGAATAAGCAGGGGGATGTGGATATTTTCATGAATTTTGTATAATGGGGGTGGGGCAAAGTTAATGGACCCGGTGGGAATTCTAAAAAAAATACAATAAAACGGCGGGTGAGAATGAATAGCTGATTTTGAAGTTACTCTGTTTATCAGCTTACCATTGCATTTTGTTCCTGGTGGATTGTCTATTTGATTCCTGGTTGGTTGTTCCTGGTTGAAGTTCGAGTCACTAACATGGGAGGGTGATAATTAAATGATGGGAGGCCTTTTCATAATTGTCTTAATCTGGAGGGTCATTGTAAAGTTCCATTGAGGGTAAAAAATTATGCAATTTGACCCCCCCCCCACCCCCTAAGTTAAAGTATCTTTTCGTCTTGTGAGGAAATTCAGCAGGAACACACACATAACAAGTCGATTTTAATTTACTAGCCTAAATGCTATTACTTGTCATATTTGTAAATAAGAATTTTGACAGAACTTTTAGGAATTATCGAGTGCTTCCAAAATCCTGCCAAGAATTTTATCGAAGTTTTTCCAAAATCATTGTTTTAATAAGAGTCAAATTTGAAAGTTGGATTTCTAATTTGAAAGTTATGTCATAGAGTTCTTATGTGATGATGCTTTAAACGTTGCTTTATATTTTGATTAAGTAACCTGAAAAAGCGTCATGTAATACCTCTAAATGTGCAAAATTAGTTTACTATCTTTTCTGTTCCAGGTGGACGTAGAACCTCATTCCAACGAGGAAGAGAATGCAAAAGACACCGCCAGGTCAGTAATAGAATCACTTGGCGATGATGATGAGAAGAACCTAGAGACAAGGTCTTTACCTAGCAGCACACCTCCTCTTGTCGTTGAAATTCATCCCCCTGGACCAAAAGGACCCTCGAGTGATCCAGGTAAAGGACCTGTGATGACGGCTCCAAATTCGATGTCACAAGAGGTCAATAAGATGAGCATGAAAGTTCTGTCTGCCAAAGTTTTATGGGACATGCCACCTTCTGTTTCTGAAGTCATGTCCGAGGCAAGCGGCAGTCTTACGACTTGGAGTGGGAAAGAGCAAACAGTCGTCACATCTACAGTTGTCACAACATCAGCAGTTGTTGAAAGCGAGAAGGTTGAAAATAGTGCTATCAAAGAACATGGTGTGCCAACACCAGTCGCAGTTGTTACGGCGCAGGTAAACAGTAAAAGCGAAGATAATCTGCCGAATGAGGTACCTAGTGACACTGCTTTGATTTCTAAAAAGACAACCATAGAACAGCAAAATAACGTATGCAAAGTGAAGCCCCAACAAAAGCAACATCAACAGGGAGCTGATGGAAAGCAAGTAATGGCGCCATTTACCCATAATCAACTATTCAATCCGCAGTTTGCCTTGCAGCAGCCATATGCTGTTTCAGTTCAAACGTCAGCTTCACACAGCAAGTTGCAGCATCAGCCGTATATGCTTTCATTAGAAAGAGCTGATGGTGCAGGCGTCTATCCGAGAGAAAGAGCTGTTGGCGAAGTTCCTAACCATCATGCACAGCCTCATGGCCCAGTTGGCTTACAGCAGGTCAGGCCAGCATCACCACTGTCTCACCAGCAACAGGATGTACTTCAACCCAGTGTCATGCTTGGTAACATTTACAGTACACCGGCGCTCCAAGGCAACCAGCAGAACACTTTGTTATGGCCAATATCAAGGCATGGGATGCAGCCCGCAACAACATTGTCATATATGTCACAAACCCCTGAGCCACAGCAAGACCTTCTTAGTTCTCCTGCCACTTTCTCCAGTACGCCATTGTACATGACATATGATCAAAGCAATAGTTCTGTGTTCTCTGCTCAGAGATTGAATTCACAGCTACACCAGAATCCCCCAGTGGGCCTGGTCTTGCAACAGCCACAGTTGAGAACAGCTTCGCTCTTAAACGTTATGCAAGCGAATCAAAACTCTAAAGGAAGCTCAGTTTTCAGCATGAGCTCATCTCCAAATCCATTTCAGCAAGCCAGTGAGCTGCAGTTGGCCGGAATGTCCCAGTCAGACCTGACCAAGCATGTGCATGCAAAACCGTTCCAGCCAAGCTCAAGGACACCTCCAGGTGGACAGTCTTCGCAGATGGGAAACGAACATCAAGCTCATTTCTTGAGTCACCAGCATGCTAAATTCTCAAGTGTTAATAAACTGATAGGACAACCGCTACCTCTACATCAACACAATCAGCACCCAGGTGCTGAACAGCACAGCTCATCTTTATCACTGTCAGAAAAACGACCTTTACTACAACATGGAAGTCAGCAGCTGCAGCAGCAATCCCACATTCTTTCTTCGCATCAGCAGGCAGCGTCACAGCACACGGCTGGACCTCACCAGATACGACCTTTAGCATTACAGCAGTCATCACTACAACCTTCATCGCCATACATACATCAGCATTCTTTCGCAAATGGACGGATTGCATCGGTAGGTCCTAGGTCAGTTCAAGGTAAAACAGCAAGTTCAGCAGCATCTGTGCAAGCACAAAACAGGTTAGGCTCGATGTCACCCATTGAACAAAATATGCACTTCATCCACACAGCCATGTCGTCAGTTAAAGGCATTGCCCATCCTCAACATACCTCTCTAATTTCAAATGCCCCTGGTAACAACTTAGTGCAAGTGCTGCCACAGTCACAAAGTCTGCAAGGGAGCCAACCCCAGAACCTGCCCTTCACAGCACGCCCATCTACGCAAATGCAAAAGTACCAACGCGCGGTACCAGGACCAATCCAGCGACCTGTCAGACCCACCAGCCAAGTTGCTGCAGTATCTGCGTCAAGCAGGCCAAAACAGCCAGTAACACCCATGGTAAAAACAAGCGACTTGAATCCGACAGCGAAAGCTAGTGCGCTACCAAGCCAGGGGAATACATTTAGAAATGAAGAGTACCAGAAGATGATAGAAGCTACAAAGAAATATTTTGCTGCCCAACAGGCCAAGAACGAGGCTTCAGCACATGCGCCAACAACTAGCCACCAAGAGACTGTCTCCTCCACATTTACAGCTACTTCGAACACACAGGTTATCTCTGCAAGGACAGCAGACAACAGAGAACCGAAAGCAATAGAAGGAAAGTTGGGGAAACCAGCAGAAGTGAAGATTGTGAAGCCACTAGAAAATCGACCCTCCTTAAAGCCAATCACAAAACCTTCTGATAGCAAGCCATCGAGCAAGAAATTGGAAACTAAATCCTCGCTCAAGTCCTCGGAAGTGAAGGAGTCATTCAAGGCAGTGGATACGAAAGATGGGGAAAAATCTGTGGATGGTAAAAAAGAACTTCCAGATGTTGCAGCATCAGCCATGCTTAATGATCCTAGCGATATAATCTCAATTATCAAGGGCAGGCCGTCATTGGCAAAGGCTTTCAAGTTATCAGAAGCCCAAGACAAGGTGTCAGAAAGACCGCAGTCGAAGAAATCTTCTATTAAAGATGACAGGCCTAAGAAGAGTGAGACTCATCCAGGTCGGGTAGCATCCTCAAGAGGAGGCCAGAAAACGACATCAACAAAAGATCCGAAGTCTAGTAGTATCAGACCGGGTAGCCAGAAACGAGGTGAACGCAGCGAAAGAGGACGCATGCAGGATAAACCAAGGACCTCTAGTGGTAGAGGAAAAAGCGTTGCATAAAAACAGTTCATTATAGAATTTCCTTGTTGATTAATTTTCGTGCTCATTTGATTTTAAGTTGCAAGCGCGTTGACAAGGAACTTTGAAATTATACTAGTAATGACTGCATTTGATATTGAAAAAATATCTGATTTCAGAAGAGGTTTAACTCGCCCAGACGAACCGTTTCTAGAGGATATTGACGCCACATCTGGCGCATCTGATGGGATTGCTATTACCCCCAGGAAAATATAATATATTGATGTCCTCATCTTATAATTGTAATTTATTCATGTAAACTTCACGTAGGTAAGCAGTGTTGGTCGAATAGATTATAACGTTGTTTGGGCGTTATTAACACTTGTGTGTGCGAATGTGTTATAATTTCGTAATAAAGCTGCTTGTCATATTTGGCAGCATTTGAATATGTTAGTATAATGCTTTTTATCTAGCTGTGGCTGATAGTTACGTCACAGAAATATTTGCGAGTACAAGTTAAACTTGCTTTCGACGCTGTTGCCTTTTTTGTGCCGTTTATCTTTTTTCCATTGCTTTCTTCATAGTACTGTGAAGTCACGAAGAATATGATAATAATTTGTTTTAGTAAAGTAATTGGATACAGGAATTTCCTAATAGATGACACGCAAAAGGACAGCTGTTTGTTGGAGTTAGTTCCATAGTGCCAGTCTTCAGCAAAAGGAACCCTACCCTTCACTGTCCTTTGAAACAAGGTTTAGTGGCTGCGCCTCTTCAATGGGCGTATAATGAAATGTTATGAAACTTTCGGAATACTATGAAATTTCAGCAGAACTTGTTTTGAAGGAGCTTCCTTTATCATAAACACTACCAAGGCATGGAAAATGTATGCTTTCAAGGATTGGGCGGCGCCAGAGGGGGTGGGGGCTTCAGCCGCAAAACCCCAACTTTTTGCAAAGAAGTTTTTTTAAAGAAAAAAGGAACAAGAAAAGAAATTGAAGAAAAAAATATTGCGGTAATTCCTTTTATTGCTTTATTTTCAATGAATAAGGCCTCGTGAAGTAATGAATTCCATTTTAAGACTGGAATTCATTATGGATCCAATGTTGGATCCTCAGTAATGAATCCAACGGCGAAGCCCGGTTGTGGGTGAAGGTCAAAGGAGAGAGGGTCGGTGGTCTGGTCAGAATAATTTTGCGTTGTTACGCCCTAAAGACTCGGGCCAACACCCATAAAGATACATTTAAATCCAGACTACAGTCAAACTTCATTCTCGAAATTTCTTTCACCACAACATCTATCCACAACATCAACTATCAAGGGAGGCTGGACCCAATCCTACTCTACATAAAAGCAAAATTTTGTTCTGGTGACCATCTACATGGCTTGATATAACTTTAGGATATCACTCCTCTGAACATACTGTATTTTTTTTCTTTATTTAAAGTTGGTACACCCTGTAGCTATATTAAAGCTAAATAAAGCCAACTAATTCAAACTACCAACGCTAAATATGATTTATATCAAATTCTACTGATGTTGCATACACATTCCTTGCAAAATCACAGGTACAATTGAGTTTTTTTGAGTTTATTATGAGTTTTTTTTCGTGAATATTTGTAAAGTTTGGAAGTACATATTTCCAGGAACGCCTGCACAAGATTAGGGCAGGAGGAACAGTGTTGGTGCCGAAGGCGAATTTTTGAATTCTTCTATTAACATAATCGAGCATTCCTAGGTGGGAGGGGTGTGAGGGTGGGGTAATATAATAAAATATTAACTTGAATATGTGCCACCCATACAGCTGGGTTTTTTACCATCAAAGATTCTAAACATAAAGAAAATGTTGACAAAATTATCCATAATCGAAAATGGTTATTAAATGGCCTTGTCACTCACTATTCACAATATTTGGTTTTATAAAAATCATAGCTGTTATAGATGGACTGGTTGTAAAATTTTGATTGCCCTCTACGTTTTCATACCGATTTATCCTCCTTAGGTTCCTGGAGTACTTCTGAGGGAACACATTTTTTGTTTATCATTAATTATCTTTGCCGCTCTCCCTCTTGTGGCCGACCTTGTCACAGACAAACTTTTCATTCTCTGCATTTTTGTGCTAGTATTATCATCCTTCTAGTATTTTCTAATAGATATTAACATAACGAGAGAGGCCAAAGAGATCATCATATTTCAGGGCACTTCTTGCCCCCTCTGCCCCTCTTCGAAGAGGGCTGCTGCCCCTCAAATCTTTAAAAAGCTCCAGTACTGGCTCATACAAATACATTCAAGCCAACCAATCCAAGCCAAGTCTTCAGGATATTTTTTAAGGACTTCAACTAGTGGGGATTCAAAAAGGCCCACTAGGACAAGCAAGCGGCCTACTGGGACAAATTTCCAACCAGTTCGTGCGTTAAAAGCATCAAATAGGAATACCGTGCTGCATGAAAACTTCTTGATTCAAAAAACGTTTGGATAAAACGTCTTGAATTCAAGCACGTAGGAAGCATTATTGGGGAAGCCTGTCTAAAGGGGCACCCTAACACGACAAGGTTTAAAAGCCTGTTTAAGGGACACCCTAATAAAGATTCTAGAAAGGTTAGAAAGGCTGCTACATAAAGACATAGAGCCTGGCTACAATGATATAGATATCACTTTCTGACTTAGTTGTGAGCAGTGCCGCCGATGGGTTTTCAGAGGCCTCCTGGCGCAACTAAAAAAGGAAGCCCTTCGCGAGCAGAAACATTTTGGCGACCATGCCCTCTAGATTAGCTTAAAATCCATTTCAGAAAATTTTTTGCAGTCATTTTGCAATGGTTGTACAATAATGTCCGCACTAAAATAGATTCGGTTAGCCGTACAGCTGATCGTCATTTGATCGTCCTAGCTAGAAGATCTCAAAGTTTTCAGGCATCGTATAAACGGGCTATCCGGAAAAGTTCTGTTGCAAATTCATAGCGAGGAGGAGATTTTGGCATACCCCCTGTCCCACTTTTCTACTGAGCTAAGCAAATTTCTTTTAAAAGTGGAAAGAAATATATTCTCCTATTTTGTTAGCAACAGACATTGAGGATATTGAAAATGGAAATTTGATCCAAGAACTTTGTTATTGTCCAAGTTGTACAACGAACATCACTTTCTGAATTTGTCCCCGTGGCTCCGGCGCCCTTGCTTCTGCCATTAGCCGAATTCAATAATTTGGCGCCAATTGCTATAACGACTGCTAACGACCATATGGAACCACATCCCCGGTTTGTATCATCAGCGACTCATAAAGACTGCAGAAGACTCTCAACGACCCTCAGCGATCATATAGAAACATATCACAGATTACAAGTTTCAACGACTCATAAAGACTGCCAACGACCCTCAACGAATAAATGAAAACCAGGCTTAAAACGGCTTAAAAGCTAAAAAAAGCCCCGAACAACGTATCTGTTTTATTTGTGGAGACGTGAGTTGAATGAAGATGTTTTTCACTTAATAAAAAGACGAAAAAGACCGAGAGAAGACGCATTTTCTTCATTCTGACAGAATTCGCAATAAAACATAAATCCCGCTGTTACTTATTAACAAAAGTTAGTTATTAAACAAAAAAAATATTTTTTCTTCTTGTTGTGAATTTTAAAACTTATCTTTGATGTTACGAGTGTTGTGAACTGTAGAAAGCCTGTGTCAATAACGATCGTGGAAATTTTTACTTAGCACAGCGACAAATTTTTGTAAATTCATCCAACTATCAGTTTTAGGAATCGTAGGCTATCCTTGGCTATCCGTAGGCTATCTAGTCTGCCAGGCAGTTTTGTTGTCAAGTTCTTGAAATCTGATTGGTCAATAAATTACTTCAGATCTCTTAGTATGCGTTTCCACGATGCCGGATAACTTTTAATGCGGGTAAAAAGTTAGACGGATAGACTTTCCGTGTCACGATTTTCTGTTTATTAACGGAAAATTTCACGTTACAAAAAGAGAGCAATCAGCTGTTGAAGGAAAAGAAATTGCTGGACAGAAAAGTTTGGAGGATATGAGAAATAAAGACTTTGGCAGATTTGTTCTGTAAAAGTATCACCAAGAAAGCTTCAAAGTTTGATTGTATGGATTATCAATTCCTACTAAAAGAGAAGACTCTAGACGTTATTACTTTATTCTATTCAATTCAAGTTCTATTCAAGCTCGTTTTGACCAACACAGTTTATCAAAAAAGGTTTTTTTTAGCTAGAAGCACTTTCTTTTTAGCTAGAAGCACTTTATTTCCGAAAAATTGAAGATCAGAATTTACAAAATATTATTTCATCTGTACACAATTGCTTCATCTATTATTTTTAGTTGATAGTGTTTCGGTTGATAGTTTGATGTTCATGTTATTTGGTTAAACCGTGTTTCAATTTTTTTTCTAGCCTGAGATATTTTTCTAACTTTATTTTCTCCATCTTATTTTCGCTACTTTTTAAATTCAAATAAAGTTTCACTACAAGCTTCATTAAAGGGTTAAACTTTCTAAAACCTTTCCTATTCATCCCAAAAACCCAAACCATCACTCATGGAATCAATAGCTTGTCCTATTTAGGATGCAAGCTTTGGAACAATCTACCAGAAAACTTGAAAAACCTAAATACTCTTAATACCTTGAAAATAAAGATCAAACGATGGAAGGGTAATTGCAGCTGCAGGCTATGTAGAACCTTGTAACACAGGGCGGGTTCTTGACATGAATTATCTAACATGATTATTTTCAACTATTTATCTAAGTAAATCCTAGGTGTTTTAATTCATTTCTTTGAATAGCTTTTATATCACTGTAAAATATTATCATTTTTATTCCCATAAATAGTAGGCTTTAATTAGCTTATCGTTTTAGCTACTACTGTAAAGAACGCCTACTGTAAATAAATGAATTATTATTATTATTATTATTATATTATTATTATGTTAACATTATAATGGACGAATATATGGGGCATAATAATAAAACATATCTGGAAAATATTACCTTGGATTTTCCTCCAGTCAAAGTCCATTTTAGATACAGCCATCCCTAAGATATCATATTTCTAAAATTTTCTAGCCGCCGACTTTCAAAACTTTGATGTTTTGGTCCCTCCACTTTCAAATACGTTTACGCCGGCCTTGTGGTTGGATAAATTCATCAACGATATTGTACTGCCAGAAGAATGGATTGAAAATATCGAATGTGCCAGGAGAGTTTCATCAATCTTCGCCATTCGTTGAGAAAAATCTGTTGTATCCGTAGACGTGTGAACGGGAAGGCTATCCTTATAAAAAGGCACCGCGTAAACAGATCTATTGAATAAGGGCACCAGAGAATTAGGCCCATGAAGTTTTTTAAGCATAATGTTATTTCTTACCAAAATGTTCAAACGCTGGAAAAATGCCTTTTTACACCGTTGAACTATAACAAAAACCAAAATTTTATTTTCTTTGATATAAAAATATTGTTAGACCCCGTTTACACGAGACCGGTTCAAAAAAGATCCGTATCCATTTTAGTTCACTTAGGCGTTCTGTTTACACGAG